AGAGCTCTCTACATCATCCTGGTGTGCAGACTCTCATTTTCGCCGACTTCGTCCCTCACCTGCTCTTCACCAAGAAACCCCTCGAGTTTCTTGTCACGACCGTGGTCGGGTGGTCGGTGACATTCTTCCATGGTGCACCTGGGCTATTACTCATCTTTCTCTCATGAACCAATTGATTCAAAATATCTGACTGTGTGTTGGCAGCATAACTCCTTACTAACTAGGCCCGTCGTTTTCTCGTAACTTAGTTCCCTAAATTTTATAGTAGCATGATATCATCCCTTGCTACTATTGTGGAATTGTTAATGTAAAGATCTTCTCCATATTGAGATAGTGGCATTATGTGAACCAAGTAGAAAATGTCATCTTTTCACTTAGTGGTACCAGTTAAGCGATTACTGTCCATTCATCTCTGCATCAATCTCTGTCCTCAGTGTCTTAGAACTCACACTAGTGAGGTGTGGATTCTAGAGCATACTGTTACCCAAGGCACAGCTGAGATCAGAGTCCAGACAGGATTGAGCACCCTCTAGAAACTGAGAATTCTGCCCAGCCTCCCCAGAGGAGATCCTGGAGTCTCTGTGCAGAGAATTCAGCCCAGCCTACCGCCAGCGGGGATGCCATGTCTGAACTTTGGTCTTAGTTTAAAGATTAAACTCAGTCCTTGTTATGCTGACAACACTTAGGTATAAGGAAAATATAGTCTCCAGAGATTGAACCTTTTTAGGATGATTGGCTTAAACTAAATAAAAACCACAAGGAGACTAAGAGAGGGGCTTTTCACAGTGCTAAACTGTGAGAGGACCTCTGTCTTAGCCTTCCCTCTTTTTCAGAATTCATTTTCTCGTGTCCCTGCTTTTTTTCTGTGTCTGGTTTGCAACATCTGGTGCCTGAACAGGTACTTGAAAAACTAACACACACTCTCTCTCTCTCTCTCTCTCTCTCTCTCTCTGATTTCCTCACTCCTTGGAAGTCAAGGGTAAAAGTAGGAAAAGTTTCATTAGGAAATCTTCACCACTCGGAAGTCAATGGTAGAAGTAGGAAAAATTTCATGAGGATTTCCTCCTCGCTTGGAAGTCAATGGTAGTATAGATAAAATATTTTGGGAGGTTTCCCTCACTCCTTGAAGGATAAAGTCAAGGCAAGAAGAAGAAAAAATTGTCATGAGGACTTACCCAACCTCTGAAGTAAATGGCTTCCAAAAACGCAGAGGAAGAAGTGAAAAAAGAAGCAGAATCCTCTGAAGCCCAATATATTTCTTTCTTGAAGGAGCTACTTAGGAGCTCTTAGGTAAAAGTGAAAGAATTTTTTTTAATTATTGTGTGTGTACCATCAAATCGGATCTGACTGATAAGAGGAAGAGATTGCCCCTCCTTCTCCAGCAGAGCATCTGGTGTATTTGAACTGTGGACCTCTGGGATTGCAGGGCAGTGTCTTCCCACTAGGCCACCAGAGCTCCCTGAAAGAAAAATCTTTTATGCAGTTGTTTAAATGTATTAGAAAACATTGTTCCTCATTTCAATGAGTTGGTCGATCTCAACTGGATTTAAAACTTGGCGTAATGTTATGAGACATTTACGAAGAGCACATAAAAAAGAACAAATGCCTATTGCTTTCCAGCCAGTATTGGCTTTCATAAGAATAGTTAGAATGCCCATATAGGATTTTACACGTAATCAACAAATGTTGCAAAGAGATGGCTGAATCATTGCATGAATATGAATTAAGTGATATTGTATTAGACAAGGTTAAAAGCAGAAGGCAAGAAACAGCCTTTGTCACCTTTAGAAAGAACTTTAGCAAGACTCAATCCTGACTTACTATTTTCTCTTAATTGGCATGCATTGACCCAAACAGTGATCTTCCTGGGATATTATGTACAATTTAAAATATGGTTTAGAAAAAGAAAAGTGCTAAATCTCAAAGCAGAAGCCTGTAGGTATTTTTGTGGATTATTTAGTTTTTTGTTTAAGTTTGTTGTTGTTTCTTTGTTTTTTGTCTTAAGTTAAATGTGATGACAGTTTTGAGCTCACATAATCTGATAATTTCCATAAAATAAGTAAAAAAGAAAAGAATGAAGCTTACATAAAAGAAAACTCCTAATTTAGAAGATTAAAAAAGGCCACAGAGTAATTGATTGAAGATAAAGAAATAAATTGAGAGCTGCATAGATAATGTGATCTGAACATTTC